AAGATATAACTAATCTCTTCTTAATATTCACTTGATTTTATTACATTTGAATACGGTTCTATCTATCTTAAGTCTTTATTAGTTATATTCTGTGCACATAGTGCCAAAAACAAATTGTTTTTTTTTAATTGCTTGCTTGTGGTACACGAACCATTTCGACATTTGACTGCTAACAATAAATTTCCCACGTTTATTAGCTTGTAAATAATTAGTCCAATGTTTTTTAGTGCAACCTTTTTTGTTTCCCACCTTAGCTTAGGTTAGCTTCAGTCTCAAGTCTCGTTTTTTCGCGTGTAGTTTCCCAACCTTTTACTTGAAACTGGCATAAAGTTAAAACTATTGCAATGATATTAAAAAAAAAAAGTCTCGTTGTGTTATATCCAGCTGATTTCTATTGTCCCCTTAACAATCAAATTTCCCCCCTGTGGGCGTGGGCCCCCCGTTGGAAAACACTGAATTAGTTGAAGGATGTCTTTCTCCAACTTAAAGGGAGAATCCACGGCCATTTTTATGAAGGTTAAGGCTTTTTTTTAATGGAATCTCGTTGGCCTCAAGGGCCTTAACAGCTTAGCTCAGGCTGTTTTGGCGTGCGTAATAGGCTTTTCCCGCGCCTAGGGCATGGGCGCTTCCTGTTTATTACACACGGACCTCGGCTTGGGCTGCCGCAGAATAGTGGATCGCTTAAAAGGCAGGACGGAAGCAGACTGGAATGATTGAAGTGCGAAGTATAGGACTTCTTCGGTGAAGGCGGTTTTTTACCCTAATCTTTGAATTTGCCTTACCGCGAAATGGCTTGTATTTTGTCATTATTGTTATTGGATCCGTTAAGATATGTTGAGGCCGCCTACGGGCTTTTATTGACGGGAAGGGAAGTTAAGAATAATAAAAAGTGCGTGTGTTCAAAGTACACAAGTCAGAAGTGAAACTTCTTTAGCAAATAAGTTTTTAACTCTTGTTCATATTACAGAAATCTAAAACTTTTGATTTCCGAGACTTAGAGGAAGGGAAAAAGGAAGATATGTTCGGAATTTAATGAATTTAATTGTCATTAAAATATTTAGTGTGGAAAATTAATACAAATAATAAATTTAATTTTTAAATTCGATAATAAAAACACGTGGCATTTCGAATTACAATTCGTCATTTGAGATTTATGATTATTGATAATAAATTAGTTTACATAAAATACTAAGATTTCATAAATTCTCTTTACGACATTTTAATTTTAAAAATAGAATTTCTATAAGGTAATTCACACTTCTCACTCTCTCTCAATCGGTCTCAATAGCTCTCTCCCTTTCGACAAAACGCTGCACATCTTCGTTACGTTCCGTAAAAATTTTACCCTAAAGAAGTGCACCTAAAGAAGTTTCACTTCAAAAAGAAACTTTAAAGGAACAAACAATTCAACGTGAAAGGACTATTTCAATTACAGAAGACGATGGCAGAAACTAACGACATATGTTGAACCAAGAAATTCAAATTGGATTTAAAAACTAAAAAATCATTCACATTTTACCCTCATGCGCCTAAAGAAGTTTCACTACAAAAAAAAAATTCGTTAGCACGTTGCTGGGTACGTCATCGCCGTCATAGCATCGTTTAGCAGCGTAATGTCTAAATTTATTTATTTAGCTCAAACAGTTGATATATCGGAGTCATCAAAAACCTAACCCACTTCTAGATGACCCAGAAACTTGATATTGTTGTACCAAGGTTGACTTTTAAGCAAAAGTCAAAGTCAAATCATTTATTTCAATGAGACCACCTTTGAACGTCAAATAAAATATAAAGAAGATTCTAGTTGCCCCTTCCAAAAGGTAGTTTCGTGTGGAGAAGAATGGGCAAGAAACTCCACACTTACTCTTTTAAAATAGGTTTACAATATTTTGTTTACATATGCAAATATTATTAGTATAAATAATTAAAAACGTAAATGTGATATTACAGCCAAGTGCAATCTTAAAGGCAGCGTTCTCGGCTTCGACGTCAAAAAAATCGGGACTTACGTTGGACCCAAATTCTATATGTACCTAATCGAGAAATAATTTAAGATTAGCTATTTTTACCAACAAATATTTTTTATATGTTAGTAAATACTATTCAGTACAAACTGCACATAAAATATATGTATGTAAATTTCTACGTTCCTCAAACCATTTTTTTCGTCAATTAGCGAAAGTCGCAACGTTTTTATTAAAACATTTGTTCAGACTTAACGCCTGCGCAAATATTACGCCAAAACACCATCGCGGAAATCATTGCCGTCAGCCGCATCAGGCGCTTGAAGATTCTTCATACAAATCTGTCTACTCATGTCACTTGACCTACGATCGTTGTACAATTCACATCCTTTTTTGAATTATATTAATTGATTAAGTATCTGGGCATTTAATTTACACTATCTATCCGCTAAAGATATAACACATTAGTATCGGTAATTGTGGTTAAAAAATGATATCTGTCTCGTGATCTTCTTTTTAAATACACAAGTGGTGAGCCTTCTTTGCCTGACACACGCCGTTGTCTTTGGGTCTGAGGTTTAACGGTTCCTACAATGTGCCTGCAAATCACTACGAGACGACATATCCTCGCGCTAACGAAATTATTCTGAACTTAAGAATATTTATTTATCGAGCTTAGCCACTGGGGTTTAGGGCCAGTCAGTGGTTGAAGGATCATCCTCCCTGTGGCATGTAAGATACCCCATCTTTTCTAATACCACACGACCATTTATCACACAGAAATTAAAATTACAGTTGGATCCTAGCCGAGGATAGAACCTACGCCCTTGCGATGAAAGTCGCACGTTTCGGTATTAGGCTACTTCGGTAATAGTTCATGGCTTACAAAAACTGTAAAATTATATTACATTTACACACAATTTTCATACCAGTGAGCCAGCGCGTTGCATACCCTTTGAGATACGCTTTTTTAACTCCCTAAATTTTCTCTCTTTGGAAATGTGGTCGCGTCGTACTACTGAGGTCACTACTATCCTGAAACTCAAAATAACCTTATTCATATAGGTAACGAAGTACACTTATGAACGTCAACAGAAAACATGCTAAATTGATTCTAAATTTACATTTACTAACAGTTCGCAAGTCAAGGGCGTCGAGCGCGCAAAAAGAACTGGCAAGAAACTCTCCGCCACTCTTTTTAATCAACAAGTTTTGAGTCATACAAATTGTTTGAACTGAAGCAAATCAATCACAAGGATTAGGATCATTTAAATAATCGTCAAAAATTATAAAAAGTTTTATTGTTAAATTTAGGTTTAACGAGAGTGATAATTCGCTGGAGAGTTTGTTGTTAAAACAAATTCAATTTCATTATACGAAGTGGTTTATCCTCTGGAGCCTGGTTGGTCGTACGCTTAGATTAGTTCTGTTTCGAGTATTATAGTGGTCTATGACACATGACAAAATCTATAAAATATTGCATTGCAATATCAGGTAATCGAAGTTGGGACCTGATGATTCCAATGCCCGGTGTATCCTGTATCGGACGTTATTTCAGTGAAACTTAATAATAATTATTTGTTGCAAGGTGGTACAATCGTAAGTTCGCATATTCTGCCACACACAATGGCGCGCAAATTTGTCTTTAAAGAAATTTTACATTACTAATCATATGAATTAGTCAATTCTTATATTATCTGTATCGTACGTATATCATACTTTATTAAATTTATATCAACTACAGTATCTCACGCAAATAATCATTTATTGAATAGTAATTTTTTTCCAAATTAGTAATACACCAAGTCGCTTTTTAAAGACTCTAGTCGGAAGATCTTTTCTTTTGGTAAATTATTGTAAAGTAGTTTTGTGGGCGAATTACGAAAAAAAAACCCAGAAAGTTTCGACTGTTGATCTACCCCGACACAGGTTTTACAAAGATGGTAGGTTCCTTGTTTTAATTTTTAACACAGCATAAAAGTCAACAGAGCCACGAAGTTATCTTCTATACATAGGAGTTTTTAAACACAAAAAACAGTTTCTTGATTAAATATATATTTCAAATAATTTATTCTACAGAATATACTAAAATTTACAAAGAAAACAATACGTTTACAATTAACAATACAATAAATAAATAGACAGTAATCTAGAATATATTTACTGTCTAACGGCCTTTTTTTACTTCATTTTTGAAGTTATACTTCTTTAGGCGCATTATGAAAAATTAATGAGAGTGAAATTTTAAGATGCGCGCGCGCCGTGACACAAAATTAACAGAATGAAGTTGCCCACGGAAGATGCTACGGCATTGGACATAATTTAAAAACAATATTCGAATAATAGTAGAATTTATGTTACACTTAATGTAAGAGAATAATAATAAATATTTATTTATTTAATTTTTCAAATGTAAACTGAACTTTATTGACTATAATGACTCCTTTTTCCAGTCTTTGATTATTTAATTGTAATTAATTATTTGCATGCAATCAAAAACTATTTTTAATAATGCCAAAGAAGTATAACTTCTTACGCGCGTACATAAGTATAACGCACCTTTTTTTACTACTAGAGATTGATTTTTCAATCCATTTCTGACTGTCAAAGTACTGATTGACACCTAAACATAGGTTGGGAATGACATACATAATAAAGGCTGGCATTAAAGTTCTTGACAAACTAATCAATTTTGGATTGAAATAATAAAAGAGACAGCACTATACGACTATATAAACAAACGTACATAACGAAAGAATGACATCTTGTCTTTCGTTTTGCATATTTTGCCGCTTAACTTCAGTTACTGAGGCCGAATTAATTGTTTTAGATTATTTTTATGTACTTACCTATATGTATAGGGGTTATAAATTATTATCGCAATGATATATATAAATATTCTAATTTATTTTCTGACAGCATTGAAAATTAATTAATAAAACAACATCGATGTAATTCAATATTATTTTCAATCAATCTCATGCGGCACAGACTTGATCTAGAAGATTCTTTATCTATGGCTGTTTTTTTTTAAATTTACAATGCTCTTTGAATCTTCCGTATATGTTGGCTCTTCGATTCGTTAGCAGCTTCATTCAATGTATTGGTTAAATGTACTAAAGTTGGTAGATCGCATTGCATTATAACATGTTTTACTACATTTTGACAATGACTAGCCGCCTTTGCTTCTTCTACTGAAGAACTTATACAAATGTCATCTGATTCTCTATGGGTATGTTTGTCTATACTATGGTCGTAACTTTTCGGTACAGATAGAACATAGTCCATAGTGACCATGGGTTTCATTATTTCTGGACAACTTTTTGATGCCATCTGGAAAAAAGAATAGTCAAACTTGAATAAATTTTTCTTTTATCTATGACACGCGAAATATGCATTTCTATTTTAATTTGAATTGTCGGATCCGGAAAATCAAAAATAATATTAACAAAAACGCGTCATTCAATCCCCGCCACCCCTTAAGATATATGATACTTGTTCACGCTGTGTGTGTTTGTAGCTGATTTCCTACAGCTGTAGACATCTTAGTAAATGGCTTCAGATACTTGTGTCCAGGTTTTCTGATACTTGTTATGGATACTGTTACTCACGGAGGTGCAATCATGAAAAATAATTTATTTAACATTACCTGTACTTCAAATCTCCAAGCCAAGTCCTGATATGTTGGATCTTTCCGTTGGAGTAAATTTAATGCAGCGGAAAGCTCTCCTTTCTTTCTTGAATAGAATTTTACTAACACTTGTTGGTGATCATCAGAAAATCCTGCGATAGCTAGTGATGATTTAAAATTCTGCTCTGATAACTGTAAAACGAAAATTTTGTCATTAAGGAATTTTTATTTGTCCAACCCCTCCTACACCTAATTGTTTTGTTTTTGTTGTACACAACTGCTGTTTGTCTACAACTGGTTGGAGGCTGCAAACTGAATGGATTGTGTATAATTTTGTGCTCAAAAAACATAGGACTCATATGAAAATCTAGGGCATGACAATTGTGGAAGAGGCAAGGCAGCAAAAACTTCACAGCCTTCAAATATATATAAATGCGCCACTGTTTAAAAGGCTTATATACTGCTCAAAACAATTAGCGGAACAAGATTTTTCTCCTTTCTATTGCTTAAACTAAAATTAGATTTAAATTAACTTGTACGCTATTTTTTACCTTGTTAATTTGTTAATTACTACAATTAATAAAAAAAATCAATTTGTATTTTTTTTATTAAAAAAAAATTAAAATGTGCATTGTAGACGAAAAAGTGTTAAAAAGAGTTATTAATTAGACAAATTTATCAACATATGATGTTATTAAACAGCTTAGGTACATAAAAATACTTACATTATGTTTGCAACCTTCTAAAATGAGGTGAGCTAAGGCTTGAATCAAATTTTGAATAACAGATGGCAATGTCTCCAATTTCTCTGTAATGCAATAATTTAATAATGTTTAAGTAGATGCCAGTATTCGTAACCTCATCTATAATAGTCACATACTTATGTCATTTAATGTGGGTAGGTAACACAAATACATATTATATATTGATTTACAGATACACCATAAGGTTATGTCAAATTTATATTGTACTTTCAAAAAAAAAATATTTAATGATTACATTCAATAAATTATATATCAGCCTTTACAAAGAATTTAAGTAGTATTGTCAAGCAACAACACTAGACTTCTCTACAGTCTACAGGATCATAGCTAATCAAACCTATCAGAGTTCTATTATGCTTGCTTTAAGACTTTTAAAAAATACCTAAGAAAAATTTGAAATAAAAATACAATTATCTCACCTGCTGCCAAGGCGTATTTCTTTTCATTAATTCCATTATTTAGATAATCAATTGTTAACTTGCAGAAATCAATTAGAACTGAAATATAAAATTAATAATGTTTATTGTATTGATCTAGAAGTTGTACTACAAACAGCTCAAATTGATGTATGGTTAATCTGTATCATACAACACAAATCATTGAATACGCTCCATAGTCAACAAGAATATATTGTCTCTATTGTATTTACATTCAATAATCGACAACAACATATAATAACTACATTGAAATTTAATTAACAAAAATATTAGAATTTAAATTCTACTTACCCTGTGGAGAATGATTATGAAGCAAACTGAGATGTTCCTTTTGTAGTTCACTCAAAAATATGATCATATTAAATCTATGCTCTTGATTAATGCGTTAATTACTAAGTTTACAATGTAATCGATCTGTCTAAGCTCTTATTTATTATATATTATAAAAGATTTCTTACTAGATCCGTATGTTAATTGGATATGTCCTTAATATTTTTTCGTTGTATGTATTACAAATAATCCGATTCCCGTTGTAGAAGTCTAAATAATAGTTTTATAATAATCAATTTAGATTTACATAAATATTTTAATTTATAGGTAATGTTATTAGTTTTAGTTGATATTATGAATGCTTGTAAACTGTCAAGTGTCAACGCCAATCGCTACAGAATTGTTAAAGTTGAGTGTTGACATTGACGGCGTTGGAAGCATATAATATTAAAACGAAAAAATAAACAATTAATCAATCTCTTTGAAGAAGAAATTAAGGTTTTTATTAGTAACAAATTGAATGCATTACAGAAAACTAATTATTATTCTTCATAGCTTGAATAAACGAACGTTGAAACATGTCTAAATAACTCTTCTTAGTTGCAGATGCCAATTTTTCTTTTACTTTCTCCACCTCTCTATTTAAATCTTCCTCTAATTGGTTTATTTCTAATTGGTGTGTTTCGTCCGTAGCTTTACATCTACAACAAAAATAATTGCCCAGTATTAACCCCCAGTGAATTCAGAACCGATTTCTCAATAATTAGCGAACTATAGCTTATATAATAAATAATACTAATGACATCATCGGATAACGAAACCCAATTTCACTTAATCGAACTATAAAAAGGTTTTCAAAAGATATTAAGCAGTTTTCTTACTGTTTTTTATAAGTCTGTTCCATTTCCTTTAAAATATCAATTTTTTGCTTAATCGCAGTTGTAGTTTGATGCAGGCAATTCATAGTGGCAGTAGTGAATTCTTCCAACTCTTTCACATTGTTTTTTAAGACAGAGTAATCTCTCTCCAAATCTGTTATGAATTCAGAAACTTTCTTTTGCATAGTCTCGTTCATTTGTTTTCTGAAAATTATTAAAATAAAAACCGATAGAAGAGGATGACAACTCTATACGTCATAGGACCCTAGAATTGATACCATGATGTATTTTTTTAAAGACGACTACGAGCTGTTATTACAAAAGCTGCAATAACAATAGCAACACTTAATGGTATGTTGCGAATGATGCCTTCTACATATATATTATCCCCTTGCTGTTACTAGTATATGTAGACGACGACGACGACGATATATGGAACTAAGAAGATCATCGAAGAAGGTTGTCTGTAGATTTATCTGACAAAAGCATAAAATCACCATATTCGGTTCAGGCAGTAGATACATATACATTATACAAGCAGTTTAGACACCTTTAGAATATGTATGCAGCAAAATTACACTTATATAGGTCCAATACATGCTGATGTTTATTACAACTCAGAAGATACTACGAAATTACCACATAATGTTAATAACCTTCACAAACCGTACACATAACAGACCTTTACATCATAATGTTCTAATTTATTTAATGTATTGGGAGTTATCAAGATTAAGTTAACGCGCCAAAAAGTACCTACAAGATAGATGAAACTTGCATAATATGGTAATACACAAATTTTTATGGAATATATTTCCACGCATTATAAAAAAATTCTTAGTGTATCTGATAAACAACTTATACTCAGATTAAGTTAAAATAACAATTAGTAAGTAAGCTAGGGATTACCCGGAGTTCAACTGCTCGTTCATATTATTCAATATCTTCTGTTTATATTCGCTACATATTTGGGAGTCATTAGTAATTCTATTACTTTTTTTGCCCTTTTTATTGTAAACATCTTTTCCACGAATGTCTTGATCCATTTCATCAACTAGTTTACGACGCTTTAGAGTCTTCTTACATTTTGGCGATAGTTTTGGCTCAAACGTTATGAAATCATCAATATCGTCTGGTATAAACTTATTTTTACATTCCTTTGTTATGGAACTCATAATTAAGCTAGTAATAGTTTTTTAACTGAGAGCGATACTTTTAACTTAACAAGTCCAACGATTAGCAAGACGTAAAAATATTAAGCTAATTCCCGTTTCCCGCCTTTCTTTTTATTATTGGCTTAACAAATTGTGTTACTAGGACTAAAATTTTACAATTATATTTTATGGTTTCCACTTGCCATAAAAAAAAAACTACAACTTCTTCCTGTGCGAGTGTAAAAGGCCAAAAATTTACTCGGATCTTTTTTATGAAATTATAATTCACAACTATAAAGGAAGAGGAAACTATTTTTATGTATAAGAATTATGATAAAAGCTGGTCTGCAAAATTTCGCAATTTGCTAATAACCATGAGCCATTAATTGATTTTGAAAATATACAGACTACGGTTGGCACCACTAATTTGAAAAATAGCAATACTAAACGCCAACATTGCATGTCAACTAAATTGTCAATTTTATTCTTTTTTGACACATTTTACAATAGAAATTCATGATAGCGGATTTATTCGTTTTCTCAATTCGGTATCGTTTTTATTAAATTACTTAAATTATTAATATAAAAGTGATGAATATTTTAGAAAAACAAACAATATGGCTTTAAAAAAGGTTAAAGGTAACTTTGAGAGGATGTTTGATAAAAATCTCACGGATTTAGTGCGTGGGATCCGAAATAACAAAGATAATGAGGTAAATGACTTGTTTCTCAATATAAAATGTATATCTTTATAGTTGTTAGTTATTTGGCCATATACCATACATAACATAAAATGCTTTCAGGCAAAATATATAGCACAATGTATGGAAGAAATCAAGGTGGAATTACGACAAGATAATATAGGAGTGAAAGCGAATGCCGTCGCGAAACTAACATATGTAAGTATAAAATAAATATTTTGTTTTAAACATACCAAATTGCGCACGTACCTATATATTATATTATATATACGTTTTACAATAAATTTGAAGACTTCTGCTCTTCTCTGAAAATAATTGTCTGTATTATAAGTGTTTGTTAGTAAATAAAAACATAATTATAAATATTTATTATATTATGACTGAACACAATCAAAAACAGTTACAGATGAAAATTATTCTTTTTATATTATAATATGATATTTATCACACTGTATAAATTTGTTTTCTTTCAGCTCCAAATGCTTGGATATGATATATCTTGGGCAATTTTTAATATTATAGAAGTTATGAGTTCGAATAAGTTTACATTCAAAAGGATTGGGTATTTAGCTGCTAGTCAATCATTCCATGCAGATTCTGAGTTACTTATGTTAACTACTAATATGATAAGAAAAGATCTGAATGCTCAAAATCAATATGAAGCTGGACTTGCTTTAAGTGGGCTAAGTTGTTTTATCTCACATGACTTGGCCAGAGATTTAGCTAATGACATCATGACACTGGTAAGCTCTCATATAATTTTCGACAATAATAACATATATGCTTTAGATAACAAAACATGATTAAACATAAAATATATCCCTATATGAAATATAGTGTGCATAAGTGCCCTATATTTTGTTTAAAAATATAATTTACTAGTAGACTCGGCCAAGCGTTGCTGTGGCTAAGATTTTTGTTATATTACATAGTAGTAAACTATTCAAGAGAAACGGCAGGAGAACACCAATCCACCATGCTTTTTTGGTGGTCATGCCATTAAATTGTAGCTTATGTGAAACGTTGGTACTTTCATCACAGCACCATCTGTTAGAATTGTTACTATCAAATATTTTGCAATAAAATAATATTGCGGGTATATTGAGATGTAAGCTATCCTATCTTTTAAGTTGGATCAAACTACACACGGTGTGCAAATTTGATTGTTATGGGTTCGGTAGTTTAGGAGTCCATAGCGGACAAACAATGTGACACCTAATTTATATATATTAAGATATAATTATATTTATTTGAAGAATTAAGTTCTTTCGACAGTTTAGATAATATTTTTATACACTCTACACTATTGGAGTAATCATCTTTATTATGATTAATTTTTAGAGTTTTTTGTGGTTTTAATATCAACCACTTAGTTTAAAAGCTTTTATGTTATTGTTAAATGTGATATAATTATGTAAATCAGGTCACAAAAATAGTTCTCATCACTATTTTAATATCGTTAATTTTATTACCATGTTACTAACCTTTGATTGGTTGTGTATGATAATTTTTTCAATGAGATAGTCCAATTATATATTCATATAAAATTTGTTTACAGATGAGTTCAACTAAGCCTTACCTAAGAATGAAAGCAGTGTTGATGATGTATAAGGTATTTTTAAGGTATCCAGAAGCGCTTAGGCCAGCATTCCCTAAACTTAAGGAGAAATTAGAAGATCCCGATCCTGGTAATACTTTATTAAATATTAATAGGTAGTTTGATAGGAAAGAGTAATTATTTTATTATTATTTAATGTCAAATTATAATGATGTGGAAATAAATCTCCTATAGTCCTTGGGACTTAATAAAGTAGCTGTATCAATGATTGATCTAATAATATTGGTTATTCACAAAATTAATGGTGCTAAATATTTGTCTGCAAAAAGGACATTCAAGAGATAGAACATAACCAACTGATTTTAATGAAGTTTTTGTGTTTTGTAAATACACATTGCCCTTTAGTCTGTTTATGATTTACAGGGTAAACTCCATGTAACCTCCCTCGATTTAACGACAAAGTCCCTAAAGCGTCTAAATCACTCGCTTTGGTTGGTTTAGCTTATCTTCCATACAATGACACACTCTACATAGCATAATATCCACCCTCAATAACGACAATTAAATAATAAAAAGTACTTTTTAAGTTGCCAAAATTAGTTAAAACTGCGGAACTGTGTACGTTCTTTTGTCGCTTTATTGTCCTATCCCGGCATCATACGACATACATACATTTTTATGTTATTACTAACACCAGTCTGAAATACTTTTTCTTCTTTCTATTTCTATACATCTCTTTGTAACGTCAAAATATGCACGGTCCCTTGAGTGTCGTTTTATAGAGTTTACACCGAAATGGCATTAGTCTCTGTAGAAGTTATTTATCTGTTTTTTTAATGGTGAAGAATGGGTGACCAACTTTAGTAGTCCCAAAGCAAATATAGTTTCAGTTTAAAATGCGAGCTTAGATGAACAGAGGCTATGTATTATTCGTAATTTTTATCTACATACATTATAATGGCGACCTATTCAGTTATTTCGGCTTATCTATTGATATTGGCCGTTTGCATGTGATATATGTACACCAGTGTGTACAACAGCCCTATTTCATAACTGTCCAAGTATAACTTATTGTAAGAAAGGTTGTGTGTTCTCTTAGAAATACAATGGCATTTTTATATTTTGCTTCTCCAACCGTTACACCCTAGTCAAAACCAATGAGGCAATAGTACAGTGAAGAATGCATATTGTGTTAACTTACAGTCGGTATATATAAATAATATTCAATTACAGGTGTACAATCGGCAGCAGTGAATGTAGTGTGTGAATTAGCAAGAAAGAATCCTAAAAATTATTTATCTTTAGCTCCGGTGTTCTTCAAACTGATGACAACGTCTACTAATAATTGGATGTTGATAAAGATTATCAAATTGGTATGTTTATTATAGCAACAAAATTAATAATATTTACATATGATGTTAAAGATTATGGTGATATTGACTATGGCAACATAAGGAATTTTTATTTTTTAGTTTCTGTAATTTTTATTATAGCAACACAGAACTGTCACTTGTAAAGATTAATTAATATTTCATTTAAAATTAAATTAACTTATAGACACTACATTATTGATAAAATAAACTCACTTGTTCTCATATAGTATATTTTAGAGAAGAAACATGTTAAACATAACTAATATTGTAAGTATTAACTTGCGAATTTTTCAGTTTGGTTTAATGACACATTATGAGCCAGATATCGGGAGAAAAATAACACAAAGCCTCATTGATCTTATTTGCAGGTACAAATTAACGCTAGCATTCACACAGAGCAGCTTATTTTCAGCTCATTTTCATTACACAACAGTCGTACAAGGATCTTTTGGCAGAGACAAAATAACCTTAGCCCAAAATGTTTTCTTAATCTGTGCCAAAACAAACTTGTAGCACTGTCAAACGGAAGGAACACAATTGGCATGTGATTTTTTTTGCTGGCAACACCGAAACCAAAGAGGATAGAGGACTACAAACTCATAAAGCTCTCTCATAAGCTAGTCTTAGTGACATTGTATTTGTTACAGTTTGGTGCCTTGACCCCATTAGAGCCTCGACTTGGCAAGAAACTGATAGAACCATTAACTAATTTAATTCATAGGTGAGTCGATAACGATGATCCTTGATACTTTGGTCTCTATGGGGTGAAGGGAATTTAGAGGTGGCTTTTCAATATCTTCTGGCGGCTTCTATCGCTTTTCTCTCTTACTTATAAAAAAGTACTTTATAATATATATTTCTCAATAGTGGAAATTAATTACAAAAGCAAGCTTACTTCAATAGCTCCTCAGTAATATGGCTTTAGTACTCGCGGGGTATACTCTGACCTCTTAGCTTTTAGTATCGTGTTTAGGTTAGTTGTAGTTAAAAGTTAAGCGATTATAAGTAAGGGAGTTTAAGTTATGCTTATTAATCGATTTTTCAGTGGATATTTGTTGAAGGTTAAAGTATTTCTTCACAAAAAATTGCACTTATCACGAAACATCACTCAAATATTTGAGGCAAGCTAGATTATTGCAATACATGTCACTCACAATAGATATCACTGTTATATGCTAATATATATAGCTATTTTTATACGGCTTTAGCGTCTCATACCCTAAGTCGGTATGGACTCTGCACCTATGTGCACAAATTTCTATCTGCGCATTTAACACTTGTACGGTGAAGGAAAACATCGTGAAGAAACTCATGCTTTAGACCCAAAGACAGCGTCTGCACAGAAGGCTACTGCTGATGTATTTGTAGCCCGGTTTCTATATTCAAATACGACTCGTAGAAATTAAGACTGGAATGTATAACCGGGTGTTAAAGTTATTTATAAAAACCGTGATATGCTAGGACATCGGATTTATTTCGCTTTATTGAATTATGACAGATGACATTTGACACTAGATTTGTTTTTATCTGTAAAATGTATAGTAGAGTATGCGCGGAAAGAGTTGACATGGCAGTTATGCAAATATAATTCTTGTCGTAATTTCATTAATGCACAAAAACCTTTTTTATATTATGTATGTCGTACTAGAATGTGTTAACACGAAGAGGTAATATATCACTGCAGCCTCCTCAAATACCACAACTATTCTTTCTGTATAGGCTCTATTAATGTATTAATTTTAAAATATTCAGAATTTAATGTGTGGGGCCTGAGACAAAATCTCTTTTCGCCAGGCGTTACACACTAACACTAAAGGAATTTGTATGGGACAGACATTAGCTTATGTTTAGTCACGTGACCATTTTCATACTAGTTCGCTTGGACCAACTACACCAGGTGTAGTGGGTGCCGCCTGTCTCTAGCCCCTGTTTACTGTTTTGACAGTTAGTAGACTTTAAATTAAGAGGATTACCAATTTTGTTCACTATTTTACACAGATTACTATAAAGCTTAATCTAACACCTGTCAAATGTCATCAATTAAATTGGCTTTAGTGGCGGGCAGATTAGTTCTCATTACGTAAATTAATAGTTTATTTGCCAGGAAAGTGGTACATTCAGATTGATTTACTATAAAAAACCGCACAATCAGCCATAAAAAAGGGCATGCAAATAGGTTTTCCTATGATCGATCTATTGATTGGGTAATATTGGAAACTGGACGATGTCAAGTTAATGCTAAGGATTCTCAAGAAATTAATAATTTTACTTCTTTAGACAAACCTTATAGCTTACTAGTATTAACTATTGTACAAAATAATGTTTAAGAGCTAGCAAAATTCTTGATTTTACCCGCGCGTCTCCCTCCGTCCGCTCTTGTGACTAGGGAAACAATCGGTCTGAAGTTCGCGTGCGATGAGACGATACGGTGTTTCGCGGAACAAAAATGAAGTAACACCTAATGTTTTAATTTAAATAACTCGTAAAATATACATAAGTCATAAAATCGCTATTATTATTTTATATTATAAATAAAATATGTTTTAGTACATCGGCAATGTCGTTATTGTACGAATGCATCAACACGGTGATAGCAGTGCTGATAAGCATCAGCAGTGGAATGCCGGGACATACTGCATCGGTTCAACTGTGTGTGCAAAAATTAAGAATACTCATTGAAGATAGCGATCAGAATTGTAAGTACAAAAAAAATATTTGACTGGAAAAGTCGTAAAAACAATTTATTTTTTATTTTGACTGAAAAATCAGAAAAAATCTGGCATACAATAGCAAAATAATTAGTTATTTTGACTTAGAAAAGAAAGAAAACGGTCATACAAAAACCAAATATTTTTTATATTTTGACTCCGGAGAGAAAAAGATTATACACAAATATCAAAGTAGTCAAAATTATTTTGACTCAAAAGGGAGAAAACACTCAGAATGTCATTCCCATATGTCATATCAAGCCGTTGTTGTCAAAATATTACCTATTACGTACATGCACATGACACTAATTAATATATTACATTTTTCAGTGAAATATTTGGGTCTGTTGGCTATGTCGCGAATATTGAAATCTCATCCGAAGTCGGTGCACGCTCACAAGGATCTAGTATTGGCCTGTCTGGATGATAAGGACGAATCTATAAGACTCAGGGCTTTAGGACTTTTATACGGAATGGTAAGAATTCATTTCATGATCACTTGTTTATAATAAAAAGAAAGAAAAAAAGGAATATTTTGTTAAAAAGAAAAATGCACTAGCTAGCACTACATAGAAGAAGAATCTACAAGAATATCGAAATGAAACTACTGCCATTCGATGCGAAATTTTTCCTAGATGGTTTATGGCTATATATTCCAACGTTCCTTCATTTTTTTATTGCTTTTTTACTTTTATGAAAATTTATACATACGGACTTCACCGCGGAAACATTCGGGGAGGCTTCCTATAAACTCAAAATGTCAACATCTGTTAAAAACTCGATTTTCGAAAAATTTTATTTTTCGTAGCGGGAAGTTAAAAAAAAACATGAAAAAAATAATAATAATGAAACATAAAATTTTATTTATTTCCTATTTTAATTCGCCCAGCGAAGCGGGCGGGAAACGGCTAGTATATATTATATAGCGATTAAAAAAATGTTGACAAATTATTTAAAAAGGTTCCCCCCTTTCAGGTATCGAAGAAGAATCTAATGGAAATAGTGAAGAAATTAATGGCCCACATGGAACGTGCGGAGGGGACATTGTACCGGGACGAACTGTTGACTCGCATGATCGAGATTTGTGCGCAGAATAACTACCAACACGTCGTTGACTTTGAGTGGTACGTCACAGTACTCGCTGAACTCACGGAGATGGAGACCAGCTCTAAACATGGTAAGAATTCGCCCCAACTTTTAATATTCACGGCAATTGATAATACAAATGGAAACCTCGCCACGCACATGAAACAGGGGTGGAGGGTGAAAATTAAGGGTTGTATGTATTTTTTAATGCCACATAATAAAAAATAAAAATGATCCAAAAAAAATTTTTTTTTTTGGGAGAACACCCCTTATCACTTAAAGGTTCGAAAGATAGATAGTAGCCGATTCTCAGACTTACTGAATATGCATAAAACATTTCATAAGAATCGGTCGAGCCGTTTCGGAGGAGTATGGGAACGAACATTGTGATTGGAGAATTTTATATACAGTGTAAATTCTTTATAACGTCAATCGTTATAACGAAGACCTCTCTACTCGTAAAAATAGTTACATTTGTTTGGTTTAACACAAAACGCATACTTTAATTCAGTCTTTATAACGCAACAGCCACTCTTTATAACCAAGAAATATTTAGACATTAACAACATACTTAAGTGTAATTGTTTTTATAATCAGCTTAATTTCTAAGAAATACACATGAGGTCATAAACAGCCTTTGTTATTGTTAATTGCATTAACACGTGTGCCATTATTTTAACATTACATTGCCTGTAGGAAATTTTGGTCTCAGTTACTAAACGCACCACCGTCACCTATCGTGTATTATCAGTCATAAACAAACTTTGAAACTGTCAAGATGGCCATCTTAAAATAAAAGCGTTATGTTTTATATGTGTTTAGAATAGTTTACCTATTAATTAGAAATTTGTTAATTTTGTTTTTTTTTCTCCTCGCTCTCTATAACGAATCGGTCCCTTGAAAGTCGTTATAAGGAGTTTACACTGTATATATAGAGATGATAAACTGGGACTGTTCCCCATTAGGATTTAAATATAATACATAAAGCCTGTTACATAAATTATGAAATTTGGAATTTAATGAAGAATCTTTATAGGTTGCATGATAGCATCCCAGCTGACAGAGGTGGGTGCGCGCGTGGCCGACGTGCGTGCGTTCGCAGCGCGCGAATGCAGTGCTATGTGCGCCCGCTCAGCGGCCACGCCCCCCGGCCCCGCCTCTAGGGAGGTTCTATATGCGGCCGCATATGTTCTCTCTGAATATAGCACGTGAGTTGAAGTTTTTTTTAATAGATGATTTAGGGTTTTAGTAAGACACTAACTGAATATTTCTGTGTGGATTGCGACTCTCATACCTGAGGTCGTAGGTTCGATCCCCGGCTGTGCACCAATGGACTCTCTTTCTATGTACGCATTTAACATTCGCTCGAACGGTGAAGGAATACATCGAAAACCGGCTTAGATACAAAAAGCCGACGGCGTGTGACAGGCACAGGAGGCTGATCACAAACTTGCCTATTAGATTGACAAATGATCATGAAACACATATATAAATCTGAGGTCCAGAACTAAATAGGTTGTTGTGCCACTGATTTATTTTTAATATTTTTAAGTTATAAGTAAGATTATATATATTTAATTACATTTGTTATTGAATCAGTGAGGAATCAGTGATGCGCGAGTCGATATCGTCGGTGCTTGGATGCGCACGCACAGGGGGCGGGGCGATGCGAGCACGTGCCGTGTGCGTACACGCAGCCATCAAGCTCATTGCGAAACTTTTGTTGCTCTACGAGCAGAGAGGAGAACGGGATAGTGCTATTGATGTAAGTAATCCAGGAAGCCCAGGGGCCGTTCAAGTATTACCACACACCACACACACACACACACACACACACACACACACACACACACACACACACACACACCACACACACCTTGTCTGAGTTTGTCAGCAAAAGTAAGCAAAGCTCTCAAAAATAATATTACAATAAAAAGAATTAAGTTTTTGTAGGAATCCTCGAAAATGCATTTCGTTTTCAAGCATAGACAATGTGTGGGTAATATGTGTAAAATAAGTAATAGTGCTTACGTAATACTTGAACAGCCCCAATGTCAGGCTCGCAAATGAGTTGCCGGCCTTTTTGATAATCTTTTGTGTTTTTAATAGTGGGGATTTCTGATCCTTTCACCCGATGGTGTTAAATATAGAAAACAAATAATTTTTTAAGATGTTTTTAAAGAGCGTACCGATTCTTAAAAGGCCGTCAACGCGCTTGAGAGCCTTCTGTCAATGAGTGTCCTGCCCGTTTGCCCTCTGTACTATGTAAAGAAAAAGGGAATAACTCAAAGTCTATGCGATAAATAAACGAGTTTTAAACCGGTAAAGTGTTGTTTTACAGGTGATACAAGAAGCTATATCCAATCTGAAGCCCCTGTTATGTAGTGAGGACATGGAAGTGCAAGAAAGGGCCCACAACGCTACGGCCTTATTAACATTAGTACTGAAACGGATTGACCCAACGGCTGATTTAAAAGAGATCGTCGATACGTTGGTGGAACATGAAAGGTATAATAATTAATAAATACATAGATTAGAGTAATGTTTCAGAAAAAAATAGGTATTTAATTTTTTTGAGGGTAGATCCAAAAAAATCGTGGGTACGTGGGTAGACTTTAAAATGTTATTAAAAATTTAATTAAATTCTCTATCTCAAAAGAGTAATTTAACAATAGGAATGCGATATTTGATAATTTATTTAAAATTAACTCTTTTATCAGTCCGACTTTTATCAAAATCGGTTAAGTAGTTTTAAATATCCACGCTGAACAGTTTCCCAGTGTTAAGTGATACCTCCGCTCGTGGACACTCATATTGCCAGAAGACAAATGCGTTGCCGGCCTTTTAAGAATTGGTACAAATTTTTAAGCGAAATCTGAATTCACGCAATTCTAGATATATATATATTTTTATATGATATAGGGTATTAGGGGTGGGGGTTTGATGTGATCCTAAGGGAAGCTCACAAAGGCAAGGCATCGCAGCCCACAGGCACCTATTTTAGAGGGTGGGTCTTTCAGGGAGGAGTATACTCTTTAAAATAAAATAAAAAAATATGTTTATTATTATAACATAAGATACAGGTATCACTTATCCCACGTCATTAAATTTGAATCGGTAGACATCCCTACTCATCGGCAAAAAAGACAGAGGGTGTAGGCCGAGAGAAAAAGCCGGCGTAAAAAACTCTCGGTACTCTTTTAAAATTGCAAATCATCAAACAACACTTATTTTAAAATAAATATCGCAAATTAATTAGAAGTAGCCTGTCTAGCACTAGTCCCAGGCCCTTTTATCAACTACATAATCGTTGACTTTATAGTAAGCCTTTTTACACAGGTTTTCTTTGATACATTTCTTAAATTTATTAAAAGGCAGTGATAAAAGAGCCTCTGGGATTTTATTAAAGAAGAGTATCCCTCGTCCCAAAAAAGAATGATTAACTTTAGATAGTCTAGTACGGGGAAATTGCAGCCTGCGTTTGTTCCGAGTATTAACATTGCGTATGTTCTATTCTAGTAAACTTATCACTATTTTTGTATACATACATAATATTTTCATAAATATATTGCGAGGGAAAAGTAAGCATATTAATTTCCTTGAATTTATCTCATTATTTATTAAATTATAGAATTAATTTAACCTATTGGAAGTCTTATCTCCCAGTGAAGACCAACCGGGAGTCGATTCCAGCTTCCCAGTAGTATATAGAATAATATTTTTATTTTATTAATATTTTTTTTCCAGTAACGGCTTAGCAAACGACGTAGAGTTGAACGGCGAGACCGGGAACTTCAGTAATGGGTTGATAGAAGAGTTTGCGAGTTTGTTCGAAGGAGAACTTAAGCCGGTCGCGCTCAAAGCGCAGAAGAAAGTGCCGATGCCTGCCGAGTAAGTGATAATCATAATATCTATTTACTCTAAGCTTCTAAAAAAAATCAGTGGCGCTACAACCTCTTTAGGTCTTGGCCTCAGATTTCTGAATCTGTTTCATGATCATTTTTAAATCTAATAGGCAAGTAGGTGATCAGCCTCCAGTGTCCTCCGGCGTCGACTTTTCGGGTCTAAGACATGTCGGTTTCCTCACGATGTTTTCCTTCATGAGTAATGTTAAATGCGCACATAGAAAGTCCATTGGTGCACAGCCGGGGTTCGAACCTACGACCTCAGGTATGAGAGTCGCTGAAGCCACTAGGCCAACACTGCTCTAAATCTAAGTATATTCGCGGATGCATGGCCGACCCATGTGACTTCGGTCCCCTTGGAGTTGTGTGCTGGGCTGCTGCTGAGGAACTTGAATGGATTTCATAATATCTCCTTAAGTTCTCATGTCAAAGTCAAAATCATTTATTCATATAGGTAACACGATGTACACTTATGAACGTCAAAAAAGAAATACATCTTAAATGCTTCTAATTTTACATTTACTGCCAGTTCTCAAATCAAGGGCGTAGAACGGAAGAAAAGAACTGGCAATAAACGTGTGATTTTCACACGTATATATTCATAAGTATCTGATTGTACTCCTTGGGTGATGTTTGAGAGCAGAAAAAAATACAATTTATTTATTTACACTTCGTTGCATTACAATATAAAAATTTAACATAATTAAATGTAAAGGAGGGCAACTGGCGGCCTTATCGCCTTCGAGCGAGCTTCCAGGCAACCACTGTGAGAAAAGAAAAATAAATTATTATTACATAGGGTAGGCAAGAAGTGCAAAAATACATATTATACATATAGTTATTAAGAAAATAAAAATAAACTAAACATGAACAAAAACAAAAAAAATGTGAGCCGTCACGGGACGCCTGGCAGATATGAAACATCGACATTATTTTGTAAAAGTAATATGCAGAAAAGAACAGATTGTGATAGGAACTAAATATGTCATAATGATAAAATAAAATATTACGATTTTTTTCCAGATAACGATGACTATTTATTGAATAAACATTTATTTTCATTAAATACAAAAATTTACGAATTTATTTCAAATCGTGACTACTTAATTCGTTTAATCAGTGACTTCGAAATACACACACCGTACACACTACTGCATATAGACTGTATTTATATATACCATCATATAGTGTGGCGATGTGTCGCCACGGCATGCGTCGCCACGCCAGAAATCGGTTTTACGTGAGGCTATAGATGTTTCACATCAAAAACAAACGAGATATTATATTAATTTACCCATTTAATATAAAATTTTATCTGAAAGAATTTGTTAGAAATGAGAAGAATTAAAAAAATAGCGATACTTTGTAAATTTAAAAGCACAGCACGACGGTTTGAAAGAGAATTGAACCCAAGATCTTTTTGACAAATGTGTTATTACGTGACTTCCAGCCTGGATCTATCTCAATGGCTGTCCCACGAGCGCTGGTCCTCAGACAGTTCCAGTTCCGAAGACGAGTGCAGTGCAGTGTTCACCGTGCCACAGCCTGATGCAAGGCCCGTCACGCATCTAACGCAGGATGAGCTGGAGATGGTAATATTTCAGTGCTGGTTCTGTTTATTTATTAAAAAAGTGCGTGCGTACAAAGTACACATGTCAGAAGTGAAACTTCTTTGTAAATTAATTATTACTAAGGTAAAAGCCCCAATAGATGATCATGTACCAGTATATGATCATTCCATGTATTTGTATATCTACGTATATCACATAGTAGCCGATTCTGATAATCGGCTACTATCTATCATTCAGTAAGTCTGCTAATCGGCTTACTGAATGTAAAATTCATAAATCCATTAAAAAATTCATAATAATCGGTCGAGCCGTGTTTGAGGAGTATGGGTACGAACATTTTGACACGAGAATTTTATATAGTAGATTACAAGTTTCTGGTGCATAAACTCAACATTTATTATGATTAATAGCCAAAAAATCCTTAAACTTAAGAAATATCTTACGAATAAGAATTTTTCTCTGAAGTTGGAAATGATATCTATTCCAGCTTCGCGAAGCCCGAAGACAGGAGCAAGCGAACAATCCTCATTACCTCAAAGATGACTCTCCGCGCTCTTATCAACAAGATGACATCCCAATCGCTGAGATCGCTCTTGAAGTCCCCTTACAGGTGCAATGTGAGTATCATTTCGTTGGCTTCAGCGTGCGACTCTCATCTCTGAGGTCGTAGGTTCGATCCCCGGCTGTGCACCAAAGGACTTTCTTACTTTGTGCGCATTTAACGTTCGCTCGAACCGTGAAGGAAAACATCATGAGGAAACCGACATGTCTTAGAGAGCGTTCAAGTTTTACGTCACGCAATTTTTGGAGATTATTGACCCCCCTCCCCCCAAGTAACGCGCCGTAACGTTTTTCTGTACCCAATAGTAAAACGTTTCGTGACCGCCTAGTAACTCTTTATACCTAAAAGTTACCATTATGTGGTGTTAAGTACTGGAAAATAATATTAACAATAACGCGTAATTCAATCCTCGCCCCGCATCGTAACGTTTTATAAAAGGACCCCCCCTCCCCCAAAATTCGTTACGTAATACTTGAACGCTCCCTTAGACCTAAAAAGTCGACGGCGTGTGTCAGGCACAGGAGGCTGATCACCTACTTGCCTATTAGATTGAAAAATGATCGTGACACAGATTCAGAATTCTAAGGCCCAGACTTAAAAAGTTGTAGCGCCACTTGATTTATTGGATTAAATGCTGTATTCTCAAACGATGATTTTGTGATGGGATGCTGTGCGCTACTCGTGGGATCTCATTGGCCTGAAGGACGGCTAAGCTTTGCTGTGTTATTTTGCTGGTTGAATAACTAAAAGATTATGTATTAGGGCTAATTATAATACAAGTTTGATAACCTTCATGTTTTTGAAGTCGGTTAAAAAGTTATAAATGACAGCTTTGTGCTATTCAATTCGAATTCAAAAATTATTTATTCACGTAGGTAACTCAATGTACACTTGTGATTCATCAGTAAAGAAATACATATTAATGCTTCTAATTTTACATTTACTGCCAGTTCTCAAATCAAGGGCGTAGAACGGAATAGAAGAACTGGCAATAAACTCTTCGCCGCTCTTTTTAATGGCCATGTTTTTTTTTACACAACGTTTTGTATGGAGCTGCAACCATTACACCATGTTCCACAATTTAGCTCACTCGCACACACACACGCACTCACTCAGACCCGTACACTCACACACACACACACTCACAAATGCTTTAACTTTTTTCTATCTATTTTATTTATTTATTTATTTTTTTTATATAGGTATATTTTTTATATATTTTTATAAATTATTTATTGTTCGTTCGTTTTTAAAACTTGTATTAGCAATACTTTTTGCCACTATGTTCAAGAGGGACTGGTGACTTGTAATAACAGGTTTTCCCAACCTTTTTCAAGCACCAGTCTCTCAGTATAATACATAGCTTTATGCTTATTATCAAGTTTATTATTAATTATTAATAAAGTTTATTATTATTATTACATCTTAAGTAATTAATAATAATAACATAAATTAAAAACAAAGAGTTGTCCTCTATCAGCACGAGGCATGGTGAAATAGGAGCACGCACTTACATTCTCGTGGGAACAACACGCAAACACATAGTCGAAATAATTAACATCACCGCATACACGAATTCAAGTACGACCAGTCACCACAAGTAGCACCCGTTCACGTTAGCTAATTACAGTTTGGCCATTAGTACTCTGTGGCACTTGACAGTTGGCACAGATTTAATTATTATATAAACTAGTTTTCGGTACGCTGATGTGCTACGCCTAGAAAAGTTAACCATATGAATCCAAAACCAGCGATTTATGTCAAGTGTGGTCTTGTCTTTGGGTTTTTTGGACTTAAATTTCCACCCTATCTAATTGCTACCAGTTCTTGTTCAAATTCCGCAAATGCGATTCCGCTAGGTGTCTCCGTTTAGGCGGGCCGTTGAAATCTTTTTCAAATCTTCAGACCCTGGACTTGCTTTTATTGGAGATTTTGGAAACCCTCAAAATAAAAGGCCATGAAATGTGGTAATCCAGCTTTTTATAGTATAATAAATATAAATCATTTGTGTATACGTTTGTAAAACTAACGGCTGGGCTGATTTTGATGAAATTTGTGTCGGGTCCGCGATTTGCTTAATAAATCTTGCTTGTATAAAGTATGCAAACAAACAAACTTGTCGCTAGATAGCATTGGAGAAAATATTTTAAGCTATTGCATAGATTTTATCGCGGGCTTTAGTACGGCGACCGAATCAAGAAATTCTGTTACGAAAATAAAAACCTAACATACGATGACGTAATATAGGTGCGGCCAATACGCGTTAGAGCGGGACAGAACGCATACTGCGTATTCACATCTCTCTGAGGAGATCGGTGACGTAGCGTAAGCGCGGCCGGTGCAGCCGGTACACGTTAGAGTGAGACAGACTATATAGGCGTGTTAGTCTGAATCTGGTAGAGTGGTATAAGATTGAATTAATATCAAAGAAAAAAAAATACTGCATTTATAAAAAATAAATAATGCAATAGCTTTACCGCGGCAGTCTCCGAGTGCTACACGTTTTTCCGGCAACGCACCCACTAAAAATGGGTGTCTATGGGCTGCGTAGATGGCCCTTTTTGGTCGTCCCGCAAGCTCGTTTGCCCCCCTATTATATAAAAAAAAAATTTAATAACACAATTTAATTAACAAAATATTTAATTATATTTTCAGCTAAACGATCTGACAAGTACTTAGTCTCGAGAGAGAGTTCCAAGAAGACAAAGAAAGAGAAGAGACCGACGAAGAAACGCAAGAGCAAGCAGAAACATACCACGGAATCGGACAGTGATGGTGAGTTTTAATTATTTCAAATACCATAATCACTACATAGCATAAAACAAAGTCGCTTTCTCTGTCCCTTTGTATGCTTAAATATTTAAAACTACGCAACGGATTTTGATGCCGTTTTTTTTAATAGATAGAAAGGAAGAATATATGTATAATAACATCCATTAATAAGTGGAGAAATACTGTTATTTTTGAGGTTTCTAAAGTGATGTCGTAAATAATTAAATTTTTTCGCTTACATTGCAAACGCAGGCTGAACCCTAAGAGATTTATCATACTAAGTAATGTACACATTGAAAAGGTCTACAGAAAACTCCGCGATGGTATATGTCTATCTCTCATGGATATCCCACAATATTTTTTTTTGTCATTTACTTTTTACGACAAATAATGGCTAATTTTCGAAGCGATTTTAACCAATACAGCATTAATCCTTATCATATTAAATACCTTAATTACATTGTTGATTTAATATAGATCTCATATAGATCTACAACATAACTTAAAGATCTTCATGGTATAGGGTAAGGGGAATTGTTTTACTTCAAAATGGACGCGTGCGGGCCGTGGCAGTAATGAATAAATCGATATGTAAAATGATACGCACAGAGGTCGGGTAACAACTGACACTTTATTGTAAAATAATATTAACACATAGTCGAGAAGATGGCGCTAGTAGGTATATGATATTTTGTTATACATTTCAACACATAGGCTATTTATTTATACTTTATTACCTTAATCAAAAACATAATAACAAAAATAAAAAAAGCAGGTTACAAAAGTTATGAGGCAACGGGCGGCCTTATCGCTAACAAGCGATTTCTTCCAGGCAACCCTAAAGTGGAACAATGAAAAAGAAACACCTACAGAGGGTAGAGTACAAGTAATGAAAAAATTATTAACAAAAAAAACTCAAAATAACACGTTACTATAACTAAAATCAAATAAAGTAAAATCTAAAGAAAAAATAACAATAATAATAAATAAAAATAGTAAATATATAAAATATAGCTATATATTTTAGATCCGTGAGAAGCCGGAGCTTTTATATACAAAGTTCACAGTTTATCTGTAGTGTATTTAGTATCAGCATTGCACCCGTGCGAAGCCGGGGCGGGTCGCTAGTAAATAAATATTTAAATTCCAAAATTCTGTTTCAGATGGTGAGACAGCATTGTCTCGACGTCCCGAGGTGGAGACGGGGGGCGAACTCCCGGAAGGGGCTGCGCTCTCTGACGAAGACACGCAGCCCACGGCATCCGACCCTCACCGGGCTTTGGACTTGGATCTTGATGTGTAAGTCTTTTTAACGGATTTTAATGAAAATTTATTTAAAAAAAATGGTGCGTGTACTTATGTACGCGCGTAAGAAGTTATACTACTTTGGCTTTCTTTATTTTTTTTAAATATTTAATAATATTTAATATTAATAATTATTATTATTTATTATTTTATTATATTATTCATTCAATTTAATAACTAGGTATGTTTCATAACCTCTTAACTAAGTAACAATAGGTCTTTGTGAAAAAGCATTGCTAAATTTCTTTGAAAAAATAATTAAAACTCCTTTATTTGTTTAAAAGGTAAATGTCATTATGGTCATTCAAAATTCTTGGCATAGCTGCTAACTTCACGCATATTGTATTTCTTTTTACTTGTAGATTGTCTTATTCCCATCTCGCTCTTGCACGCTCGGCGCCCGGCTGGTTTAAAAAGAATTCGTTAGTGGGCAACTTCATTCTGTTAATTTTGTGTCACGGTGCGCGCGCATCGTAAAATTTCACTCTCATCAATTTTTCATAACGCGCCTAAAGAAGTATAACTTCAAAAATTCCATTTAAATTATAATAATAAAATAATATTTTAGTTCACCAAAACGTTGCGCTACCATCTCTTGAAAATTATGCAAAATCGAATTTCATACACAGCAGATAATTATTACATAATCACTAGCTGACCCGGCAAACGTTTGTTTTGTAATTAAATTAATTAATTCGATTCCAGTTTTGACAATCTCAGTGTTGCAACGTTATGACAAGTACTAAATAGTGACGTTGCGAAATTATTCGATACGGAAATGGAATGTTTCCGGATCGATTCCTCTGTTTTATAGTAGTAAAACAAGTAGTAGTTGTTTAGATATACTAATAGAAACGAAGTATATCAGGAAATTAAATATTTCTGAACGGATAATTTTAATTGACGATTAATTTTATTAAGGATCTGAGAGTTTTCTTTAATAATTGTGTGTGAAATGAAAAAAAAATGTGATCATGAAGGAATATGAAAAATATTAACTTTTTATAAAATAAAGCAGCGGTTACTAATTAATAAATAATTATATATTTATTTAAATAAAAAAACAATAATTTAGTCTTTAATTGGCACACCAATATTATGATTACATAAACATAAATCGCGATTGTATTATAATTTTTTGTGTTCATCACTACACTATTATATTATGTGGTATCATTATTTTACAAATTGACAGTAGCTAATGTCAAATGTGGAATCGAAGTAAAAGTCGTGGTATAGGAAACATTTTTGTAGTTCAATAAAAATAACTATGTACTATGATAAAAAAATAGATCGTAGAGGGAATTTTTGTATGCTGTTTTAAAAAAAAGTTGTCTAAAAAATAAAAAATAAATCTGATCACTTAGGGGTTTGAAAGATAGATAGCAGCCGATTCTCAGACTTACTGAATACGCACAAAAAAATCATAAGAATCGGTCGAGCTGTTTCGGAGGAGTATGGGAACGAACATTGTGACACGAGAATTTTATATATTTACTAGCAGACCGGCCAAGCGTTGCTGTGGCTAAGGTTTTTGTTATATCACATAGTGGTAAACTATTCTAGGGAAACGGTAGGAGAACACCAGTCATGGGGACCACCATGCTTTTTTGGTGGTTATGCCATTAAATTGTAGCTTATGTGAAACGTTGGTACTTTCAATACAGCGCCATCTGTTACAATTGTGACTATCTAATAATAAACAAATGATGTAAGCTATCCTATCTTTTAAGCTAGATCAAACTGCACACGGTGTGCAAATTTGATTGATATCGGTTCGGTAGTTTAGGAGTCCATAGCGGACAAACAACGTGACACGTAATTTATATATATTAAGATTTATGTTTAAGTGTTCATAAGGTACATTAAAAGGTATTGAATTTTGGCACAGCCAATTTCTCCCCATGTCTACTTCTTACTTCGAATTCTACATTCGACTTAAAACTTTACTATTATGATTACTAGAATTACATATTAATTATATTATTACAATTTATTTGACACAGAGTTTGTGAGAAGAGGTGATCGCTAAAAAAATCTAACACATTTTGCAGTTAAAATCGAATGTTACTCCAGATAAATTTGGTTTTTTAAATGTTTTTATTTTCAGACCACTACGCGATGAAGAGTTACTCGTCACGAGAGTGAAACAATACCCGGCGCCGGGAGAGAAAGTGACATTAGAAAAAGCGAAGAAAGAGAAGAGAACAGAGAAGAAGAAGAGATCCAAACCCAAAACTGAGGATTTAATACCGATAACTGATGTAAATAACGCAAAGGACAAGACTGATAAACACAAGACAAAGAAAGAAAAGGATTCGAAGAAAAAGAAATCTAAAAAAGGTATTATTCATATTACTTTTTTATATAATTTAAATGGCAACATTTCAGATGTCATTATTGATTCTCATTGTCATCTGTCAAAGAGTGGTGTAGTGTCGTTTCGATTTAATTATTCTTGGATATTATGTTTTAATTGCGTATCTATTAAAAGCCAGTTAAAATATACAATATTTTTTTTTTGTATTTGTCGGAAAGTTTCAATAGACTATGAATGTGTCAAATCGTCATGATCGTAGAACAATGTCGGATTTGATAAAATCCAAAATCCACTTTTTATCACATTTGGATACTAAATCGACTAAATATTACGGCTACATTAAAAAAAAATTCATGAGTTTTAAATTTCAAATTAATCAGTCGGAAAGTGACGTATTTGATAGAAACATTTGATTTTTCTAGAAAACTGTGTGTTTATTGCGATTATTTTTATTTTATTTCAAAACAAACCCTTTTGTTTGCTTGTATGGCAATTTTCATAATTACAGAACATGAATTAAAATAATTATGACAAGAACTAACATGATTATATTATTTTGAAATTGCTGCCCTGTAAATCAAATCCGTCAACATTCTAGGATTATGACGAAATGTCATTCCAATTAGTGTCGCTATCGCCATAGTTCATTTAGCGTCAAGAGAAGGATTTTTTTGGCCAGGCTTGTCAATTTTTTCTTATAAAAACACAAACATAATAAATAAAATATATATTGATCCCTCAACTACGCAAATGGCCCGTATTTGATTTTACAAACTTAAATCTAGTTTTAAAAGCTGTCAAACCATCTGTATGCAGTTTGACATTTGACAACAATCCAGACGAGTTTGCGTCTTTTAATTCAATCCATAGACATCTAATCGATGCGCTGCCGGCTTTTATGTAGTTGAGATGCCGTTTCGACTGTAACATGTAATCTAGAGAAATGGGCGTAGCAATTACGATTCGTAGTTCAGATATAAAACAAGTGTCAACAAACTTTTAGGTCTGGACCTCAGATTTATGTATCTGTTCCTTGATTCTTGAACTAATGACGTGACATGAGTGAATCACTTTAATGACGTCATTTGTCAATGAAATCCAACTAAATTTTTTTGTCTTAAATTGTCGCTCTCTAAAATGCCGTTTTCGATAAATATCCCACTGCTAACATTACCAAGTTTTTAGGTATATTTATATCTTTAATCCATAGAATTAAGGTTTTTTTACGCTTTTCCAGACAAACACGGAACAAAACTCGGATACGAAGAAGCCTTAGGCATATCCACGCCAAGCAAGGAAGTTATTTAGTATTATTTAATCCAGTGCAATTTAAAAACGCATTTCTAAATGTGAATAATATATCAATATCGTCAAATTTAAACAAATATTGCTTTTAATTTCATTTCGAATGAAGTTAATTCGGATTTGATAATTGTATGTAAGAAACTTTACTTGATAGTAAGAAATATAGGGAAAAGCGTGGACAGCGCTCCGTGAGCGTATTTGGAACTAAACGGAAGCACGAATCACATACAATGTTTGACGGCTCATTGGTCTAGTGGTTAGTACCCCTGACTGCGAATCCATGGGTCCCGGGTTCGATCCCCGGCAGAGACAAACATCGATGTGATGTGCATTTGGTGTTGTGCTTAGGTCTTGGATGTTTAAATATGTATTTATATGTCTATCTATCTATAATATGTATGTATATCCGTTGCCTAGTACCCATAACACAAGCTTCACCAGCTTAGCATGGGACTAGGTCAATTGGTGTGAATTGTCCAATAAAAAAAAATAAAAAACATGTATAATATTATGAAGTGCGAAAAGTATAAGAGGCCTTTTTTTAATAACACCTTAGTCAAAATCCAATCATTTATTTCAATTAAGCCTATTAAAAAGGCACTTGGGGGCCTCATAGCCTAGCGGTCTTATTAAGTGGCAGCTAGGTGAGGGGTACCGGGTTCGATTCCCGGTTCGAGGGCAAGTTTTAATTTAATTTAAATTTGTTCTCGGCCTTTGGGAGGGTTGTGCGGTACCGGGCGAGTGCCTAAAACCGTACATGGAGGACACGGTCGAATTTCTAAAGACAATCACCAATTATAAAAAATCCTATATACTTGACGCTGGCTAATGCACAAATCGTGCCAGAGCCATTAAAAAAAAAAGAAAAAAAGGCACTTGAAAGTCAAAATTACATCTTAAAAATATAAAAAAATGACTATTTGCCCTTTCCAAAAGGTAGTTCCATATGAAGAAGTATGGGACGCCACCTTTGCCAATAGAACAAAAAAAATGATGATATAATGTTAAGAGAGAACTATAGTTAAAAAGCATTGATTTTTTCAGAAATATCTTCCAAATAAACAAACTACGACAGTTTAATCAATGTTATGTCAATTTTGACAGTTGACATTTCATACATTTCAGTTTTGAGTTTAGTTCCAAAACGTGTTTCCTATACTTGTTACTATTACGAAACGATGGTTGACCTATCAAAAAGTTTGTCAATTGTGACTTAATATATCTTTATATATGTATTTACATTTAGAAATGCAACGGAGTTCACTATTTCTATTCATATTTAGAATTATGTATAATCATGTACAGATAAGAAAGATTTATTAAAGCAATTCGTTTAATAAAGCTAATTTCTTCATGTTTCTTACTTGTTTTATTTATAAAACAGTTGGTATTTACTTTGTTAGTTCCTGAGTCATCGGTGTGCTTTAAATAATAGACGATTTTTAGTTTTACTCTATATTAACCACTCGCGTACAACAATAGAATAAAAGCGAAATAATGAAATGTTAATTGCTATGTAAGGCTACGAGCTTTAGGGGCGTAACTCTGACGATTTAGGAAAGCGCCACGCTTATAAAACTAAGAAAGCTTGAGTGAGCAAAATGCCTTGGCTCGTACGTACCAGGTCAAAGTGCGAGATGAAAACGTCCTGCTTTATAAGATAACTAGCTGGCCGGGCAAACGTCGTTTTGCCATTTGTAATAAAAAATAGGGGTTGAGCGTAGAGGGGTGAGAATTAGGGGTTGGATGTATTTTTTAATGCTGTATCATAAAAAAATAAAAAATAAATTTTTTTTTCTAAAAATTAAAATATAATAATTTAGGGGTGGACTACCCTTAACATTTAGGGGTCTGAAAAATAGATGTTGTCCGATTCTCAGACATACCCAATATGCACACAAAATTTCATAAGAATCGGTCAAGCCGTTTCGGAGCAGTTTAACTACAAAAACCGCGACACGAGAATTTTATATATTAGATACCACTATTTAATATGCATACTATCAACCACGGCAATAACACCGCACTATCACTTACAATAGGACCGCATGGGCCCTTGGATTTTCTAAATTTTGATTTGATGTTGATCTGCTGATTCCGCTGATGGTACACCTTCCCTGACGACTTCTGCTTTTTTATATGATATCTACTATACAGGTTCGCCCACGCCTGTTCGATAAAATTTTCATAATATTCTATTCACTTCCAGTCTTGAGCACATTCTACGAAATATCATGAGCATAAAAAGTACAGTGATGAATAAGTTGGTAAGCAACCATGACCTATGCTACATAATTCTTATAAAATGCAACCGTACCTCAGTAATTTGATAGCTACATAATATTATGATTTTTAGCTGACATTTTTCAAAGTAGGGCCCACTCGCTAACATGATATTTAGCTGAACTGGCATTACTCTTATTATATTACTAGCGGACCCGACAGACGTTGTCCTGTCTTAATTATGAATATTGATTTCGAATTGATATAATTAGCTATGCAGCTCGCAACATTTCTATGTTGTTGATTTCGATTCCATCGATTCCGTTCGCTTCGCTTGTTCAATGTTATGTCAAACGCCATAAGGTTACATGAAAAAAGTTTGAATTGTAAAAGCGCACTGAAAAAAATAATTTGCTATCGTAACAAAAGTCAGGATTACTTAATATGGTGGTTAAGTATTTTCTAATTTTCTATTTTTTTTCAAAAGAACCTTCTCCTGACAATAACAAAAACAACAAAAACTTTGTTTTCGGGGTTTAAAATCACTTATGCAACGTATCAAAGATGTATAATATACATATGTAATTCCGATGCTTAGAAGGATTTTTAATCATAAAATATTGTACGATGTTTTTTTTTCCTTAATTTTACACTGATCCGAACAAGATAAACTGCGAGGTAAAGCGAAGAAGTGGTATAATCGCCTGGAGGACTACGATTGTACGTGGGAGCAATGGCAAGAGATACTATTACGAGCATTTCCCCGATATCGCGATTATGGAAATATGCTTGAAGAACTATTGCAAAGGAGGAAGCAACCAACAGAGTCGATGACAAAATACTATCAGGATAAAATCGCCATGTGCTTCCAATGCAAGTTGTCCGATAACGCCAGCGCTTCCTGCATTATTCGTGTTATTTACCTATCGAAGACAATGATCGCTTTAAAGTAGTCACAGTCAACAAAGAGAAACTTCCACGTGGCTCTTCCATCATTCAAGTGCGGTGTTTTAGTCGTATATAAAAGCACGAAGCAATTTTTATTCTTTTTACAATAACAATCCGTAAGAAATCCACATTTTGAAAAATCTCACGTGAGATTGGGGGTGGGGGAGGGGGTTGATTAAAATCTCACGACATCTCACCAGGGGGGGAAGGAGTCACAGAAAATTTAAAAAAACACCTCACGTAATTTATGGATGCCCCCTTATCGTGTGGTCGCCGAGAGAGGTCCTAACCAGGGTTGAAAGCTGGCAGGAGTCCCCGCTACAGCCGTATAGCCAGGTACTTTCCCTTGCTGCTTGCCAAATTTTTGCCAATAATATAGGTCAACCCGTAACGACTTATTTATGTATAGGAGGTGTAAAATTAGAGGACATACAGATAGGACCGTTAAATAATTAACAACATTCCAAGCCTGTTTTAACTAATTTGTATGATCGTGCGCTTTCTACGGAAATACATACTGACGCGTGTAAATTGGGAATAGCCGGTATACTTCTATAAAAGCAGACTGATGGTACGTAACGCCCCGTTACATATTTTAGTAGAGTGACAAGTAAAGAAGAAAGCATACGTATCATAGTTATGAGCTTAAAAGTCGCGTATTGCGTCGTTTTCGCGTATACATCGTCGGGAAAAAGGATAAGATTGTTACTGACTGTACGCAACATTATACCTCGTATCGCGAGGTGGTGGCTTTCTATACAAGATTACGATGTAAGTGTCGAGTATAGGCCGGGAGAACACATGAAACTTGTAGATGCACTTATAGACCACAAGCCCATGAACAAAAAATACCTGTGAAATGACCCAACCTGAATTACGCTTAGAAGGCTGTTACTATATCTGAAAATAGCTCTGAGCACTATGCCGTCATTTCTGAGCGGTACATGTGAGTACGTGAGTGAATGGACTTTCTCATGTACAATGGGGGAATTTCGACTAATTATTAATGAACGGCTTTGTTATAAGTGTATAGATGATTAAAAATAAATGTCGAAAAACCTAGTGCCGTACAAAAGTGATGGTGCCGGAAGTCGGTGCAAATTTTTAATTCGACGACAGTTGCAGGAGCAATATAGGTCATTTATTACTGTACGGCATTTGTGTCATTCCTTTTGGACACATATACAGATACTTTACCCGTAAACGCCGTACATATTTCCAGCGGAGCGGTCGAAAGCCAAGGGTCGGAACCCTACCCCTACACCCATATACCCTAAGGTCATTGTAAAATGTACGGCAACATGTTCAAAATATTATTTAACACGGACAATAATGTTTTATAATTATGCCGTCCAAATATTATAGTTAATATTTGTGTAATTAAATATTTATCGAAATTTCAGGATTTACCAAGTTCTTACTGCTGTAAGATCAGAGAATAATGTACGGCAACTTGTTTTTTTACATAATGTTACTAAATATTACCGTTGTACATTATAGCCGTTCATTATAAATGGTAACAATTAAAAATATTATGATAAAAAATATATGAAATTTCCGAAATTTAGATGACTTTTCAAATGCTCCTAGAGTAATATGGGGAGTAATATTTTCAAAGATTATTGTTATTTTATATGTAACAAATATAAATAAACAAAAAAAACCAGATGCCGTACATTTTACTCCAGATTATTCTTTACAGCTGATAAAAACTTCGACGACGTTTGAGGTGTCCCTTAAGGTCATTAATAACTGTACATATCTGAGTATACTACCATAAGGCTATAAAGTATATTTACAGCCTTATCGTACGAGCAGAGAGAGGTAAAGGA